ATCACGGCAGTGTCACGCCGTCTTGGGTTTGACACCACTTGGCTTGAGAGTACTTGCAGGACAAGCACTCCTGTCGCCCTGAGCCTTTGGGTGGAAAAGTGGCTGACTGCGCAGCAACTGGAGATCGGCAAAGTGGTTTGTGACGACGGAACAAATTTGTTGGCGGCATTGAAGTTGGGCAAGTTGACACATGTGCCGTGCATGGCACATGTGTGTAATCTGATCGTACAATGCTTTGTGCATAAGTACACAGGCTTACAGGACGTCCTGAAGCAGGCCAGGAAGGTGTGTGGCCATTTCAGGCGTTCCTACACGGCCATGGCTCACTTTGCCGATATCCAGCGGCGAAACAACATGCCAGTGAGGCGCTTGATTCGCGACAGCCCGACACGTTGGAATTCAACACTCCTAATGTTCGACCGCCTGCTCCAACAAGAAAAAGCCGTTAATGAATATTTGTATGACCGGGGTGCTAGGACAGCCTCTGGGGAGCTGGGATTTTTTTTGCCACGTTACTGGACGCTCATGCGCAATGCCTGTAGGCTCATGCGTCCTTTTGAGGAGGTGACAAATTTAGTCAGTCGCACCGAAGGCACCATCAGTGACATCATACCATTTGTTTTCTTCCTGGAGCGTGCCCTGCGAAGAGTGCTGGATCAGGCCGTAGATGAGCGTGAAGAGGAAGAGGAAGAGTTGTGGTCACCATCACCACCAGAAACAACCTTATCAGCATCGCTTGCTGGACCTGCGGCAACGCTGGAAGAGGATTGTGAGGAAGAGGAGTCAGAGGAGGAATGTAGCTTTGAGGAGGAGGAAGAGGAGGAGCAAGACCAACCACAACAGGCATCCCAGGGTGCTCGTTGTCACCTATCTGGTACCCGTGGTGTTGTACGTGGCTGGGGGGAAGAATATACCTTCATTGACATCAGTGAGGAGGAGGAACGGGAAATGAGTAGCTCGGCATCCAACCTTGTGCAAATGGGGTCTTTCATGCTGTCGTGCCTGTTGAGGGACCCTCGTATAAAAAGGCTGAAGGAGAATGACCTGTACTGGGTGTCCACGCTACTAGACCCCGGTATAAGCAGAAAGTGCCTGAAATGTTACCGAATTACGGCAAGTCGGAAAGGATGCAGCAGTTCCAAAATCAATTAAAAAGTATGCTTTACACAGCGTATAAGGGTGATGTCACAGCACAACGGGAATCTAACAGGGGAAGAGGTGAAAGTAATCCTCCCACGACCACGCCGGCAAGGACAGGACGCTTTACAGACGTGTTGTTGATGGAGGACATGCAGAGCTTTTTAAGTCCTATGCATCGCCACAGCCCTTCGGGGTCCACCCTCAGAGAAGGACTCGACCGACTGCAGATATCGACACTCTGAGGAGCGATGAACCCCTTGACTACTGAGTGTGCAGGCTTGACCTGTGGCCTGAGCTATCCCAATTTGCGATAGAACTTCTGGCCTGCCCGCTTCAAGTGTCCTGTCAGAAAGGACCTTCAGTGCAGCAGGAGGTATTGTCACTGAGAAGAGAAGTCGCCTAGGTCAAAAAAGTCTAGATTACCTCACTTTTATTAAGATGAATGAGGGATGGATCCCGAAGGGACTGACAGTGGGCGATACATTCGACTAAAAAAGGCCTGATGAGGGGGACGTAACAGGGTGTCGCGGCTGCCAGCCCGCCGCGTGATATTTAAATCCCTAGCTCACCCCAGTACCTTGCCCTGTCGTGGTTTTCTGTTCCTGGTTTCCTGAGAGTGCTTTATCATTGTGAATCTGATTTCCTGGTGTCCTGATATTGGCTTTTCCCTGGTTATTCTGAATTCTGGTTTCCCTGACTTGGCTTGTGTAAACGGTATTGTGTATTTTCTGGCTTCCTTGACCTCAGCTTTCCCTTTGACCATTCTCTGTCTCTAGCGTATTAGTCCAGCCATTCTAAGGTCCGGTTTACGCTCTGTCCTTTTATTTTCCTTTTCTTGCCTATGTATATGTTTACATAGTTTCTGCGTGCTGGACCACACTAGTAATCGTGACATTGGGATTAAACTGATAAGAATAGTACTACTTAACACACCACTCCTATCTGGTGGCACATTAGATTGCACGCGCAGTGCCCCAAATTTGAAGTAGGAGGACCGACCAAGCATCTTTTTCCATCTCCTGGTTCCTAAAATCGATGCCATATACACGTTCCCTGATAGGGGACGTAACAGGGATTAAACTGATAGGAATAGTACTACTTAACACACCTTATAATAACGCAGAGAGAGGCAATGCAGAGAGAGGAGTCTGAAGAAGAGGAGTCAGAGGAGGAAGGTGGCTTTGAGGAGGTGGAAGACCAAACACAGCAGGCATCCCAAGGGGCTTGTTGTCACCTTTTGGGGACTCTTGGTGTTGAATGTGGCTGGATGGAGGAAGAGACCTTCAATGACATCAGTGAGAACAAGGAACGGGACATGGCTAGCTTGGTATCCAACCTTGTGCAAATGGGGAGTTTGCGGTTGTGCAAATGGACTGTTTGCGGTTGTTTGCGGTGCGTTAAACGGGGAGTTTGGTCTGTCACTGTGAAGCAGGCATAACCCTTACATTACCTGATCGATACAACATCATACCTGATGTTTTAAAGCACGTTATTCCAAACAATTTAGGAATGTTAGGTGATTTATGTCCTTTATGGATTAAAACCAGACTCTGCATCAACTATGTAATTTTCCATAGGAGTTTTGCCATGGATCCCTCTCCGGCATGCCACAGTCCAGGTGTTAGTCCCCTTGAAACAACTTTTCCATCACTATTGTGGCCAGAAAGAGTCACTGCGGGTTTTAAAATTCGCCTGCCTATTGACGTCTATGGCGGTTCGCCCGGTTCGCCCGTTCGCGAACATTTGCTGAAGTTCGGGTTCGCCGTTCGCGAACCGAAAATTTTATGTTCGCAACATCACTAGTGGCTGGTTATTTGGCAACCTGGCCATTCTAGACAGCTTTGCAAGGTTGACAGAGGTGTTGCCAACTGCAAGCGACTGCATGTTGATAACATACCATATTATTAAAAAAATATATTACTAGTGTGCCCCTAAAGCCCCTTCTAGCTAATTCTCTGCATGGTTTTCTGAACATGGCCATCATGTAGAGGTTTCCTTTGTAAGAAGTATTATTGAAAAAAACAATACCCCACAATATTTAAAATGACCTAAACGCTCAATACTAAAGGTACAAACCCTTGGCAGAAAGCATCTGGTGTAGCTGTTGACCAAAATTCAACCAAATATGTTCAATGTCTGCTGGACATTGGGACTATAAACAAGCTGTGAAACATAGGAAATCAATAGAAAGTATGTTGTTATGACCATTTTCATCTCCTTATTTAGAGAGCGAGTTAAACTCCTGATCAGTAATTTGGATACAAATAGATGGGACAACTTAAGAAGAAATACTGAGTGTACAGTGAAATAGTAGTTGAATTTTCCTGGGTTGGTATTTGTTTTTAAAAATTTTACCTGGTGAGTTTAAAATAAAATTTGAGCGTGCGAAGCATCGTCCCACAGAACTGCTGTTTGCGGCAGATTAAAAAACACAGAAGACCACGCAACAAGGAAATTGTCTTAGAGTTTTGTTCTCTTTCGTATCTTATCTATTGTGAACTGGTAGAGCTCAATAACTGTATATACTTCCATGGTTTGGCAGGGAAACTAGGTATTAATGCATAATTAATGAGTTTTTAAATGTTTTTTCCATTGAAAACAGATCACAAAATTTTTCACAAAAAAAAAAGGAATATTAAGAATAATTGCTTTGGATATGAAAATAAACCTTTTTACCGTGTCTATTTCTATATATATACATGTACAGTAACTCGTTATTCTATCCACTGGGCAATTATTAATTTAAACTCCAGTATTGTTGTCAACAATTACATGGATTGCTCACCAATGCACGGCATGACATTCTGCAGCCAAACGTCATCAAACTCAGTCAAGCTAACAAATGTCTGTTTCTTTTCCCCAGCATAATAGCATTTGAATGCATCTAATTTTGTACTTGAAAACAAAAGCTGCTCTGGCTAATGTGTGTTTTACTACCTCTAGAAACATTTTTGTCTGAAAAATAGCCAAAGTGACTCAGACCAATTTATACACTACTTTCAGACTTTCTGGGCTGACTGATTCTTGTCACATGTTACAGATTATTTCCCCAGCGTCTGTCTTCATCAGCCAATTGTAATGATAAAAAAATTGCCCAATCCATCTTGTTAAAGTAGAGAGGCAACAAGCACTAATATTTTACAGGACGTAGAAAGAATTGCCATTCAAAACTTTGCTGATTTCTTAAAGTGGACTGTCTGCATAAAAGCAAAGATAAAATTGATGCAAATAAATATAAAGACAGTGTTTTGCATTTTTTAGCCCCAGGAATATATT